TGGGGTGGGGGGGGGGGGGGGGCGTGCCTTGGTCTCCACCTGCTCCTACAGTCCATCATGGTCTCGCTGGTGCCGGGTCTAATAAGTTTTTCTGTGTTGGTTAGTACATGACAATCGTGTTGCGTGTGGTGCCAGCCAAGGAGATTATGAGCGACTGACTGGCTGGTTGCTGGGTTGTAAGTGCTGGAGCGAAATGGAGGCGGCAGGCAGGGCGCAGGCTCTAGCCAGTGGGCGCGGCACAATCGGCCAACGCACACATACGAAGCAGACCTGCGTCAGGGCTTATCGCATGGAGCACTGCGTACATGACCGGGCCCGAGATGGGGACGCTGGTGCTGTTCCTAAGGTGGCCCCTAGCTGGAGGGTACGAACAATGAAGCAAGGCGAGGAGAGAACTGCTGGTATAGGCAAAGCGTGAACCTTTGTCTCGCTTGCCAGGGTGGCGGGTGCAGCATTCGGAGTAGAGGATCGTGTTGTTGGTGGAGACGCAATACTAGCATCTTCGTGCGTCCACCAACATCGACCCCGGAACCCGGACGGCCTTCATCATCGTCATGGTTCCCCGATGCATTGTTGGCAGCAAGAGCCACGCGAGTGGCCAGTCTTGGCTCGATCTTCCCTTGCAGAATGGGCACCTTGTTGTGATGCCCGTCGGCGAGCCCCAGCCTTGTCTATTCTGTAACAAAAGGTATGATTGTACTAGTAAACTAAGTGGGCAGGGATCTGTCGACCATGAGGCAAGTATTCCGTCAAGCGAGTAAATGCTAAAGAGGAAAAGAAAAATCAGCCATCTCGTGGTTTATGCGACGGACGCAGTCTAGAAGTGAGACATAAGCCGGACATGGGGGTCGGGCTGCGGTTGTGGGAGCTGGAGGATTAGAGACGAGGTCCATGCTGGGTTGTATGCGATGGACCTTTACTGGCTCCCAATGCCAAAGGGGAATGAGCAATGAGGGCATATGAGTAGTTAAGAGGAGTAGAGATGAGGGACGGTTCGATGTTGCAATATTAAATTGTCCCTGTCAGCCCGCCGGCCAACGTGCCTTGCACGTCACCAGCTGCAGGCCAGTGGTTGGGTTACGGGGTACAGAGAAGCAACAATGCTGAGGCTGGGCGGGGTCCGGATGTCGAGTCTCAAGATGGAGCATCTTTTGCACCTGGCGAACACTTGGCTGGCAGTACCGGGTACTCCGTACTCCGTAGACATCTGGATGGACGTCCTGCCTCGAGGGCTCCTTCTCCCCCGGACAGAAGTGAACGTGGAGCCTGAGCCCACCAGGGCAAGAGGCCAACATGGGACAGACTCACCAAACTCACAGACACAGATGGAACAGGTTGGACCATTGGACCACCATAACGACGACGTGCGACTGGTCCCTAATCAGAGACAGCACCGAAGCCAAGGCGACTCAAGCTGCTCCAGTGCCCAAGCTAACAGGCCCAGGTCATCGACGTCTGGAATGTAACCAGCAATAAAGCAAGACGAAGCGAACCCAAGCAAAGCAAAACAAAGCAAAGAGAGACAAGCCCATCGACAACCAACCAAAGAAGTAGTACCATCACTCCGTACTGGCACAACCAATTACTTCCACAAATAGCAACTATTGCCATCGAAACACTAGCCCTATCCAGTTATCCGATGCAGATGAGCGAATCAGCTTGTACCGAGTGCCTCTCTTCCCTGCCCATGGCCAAGATATCCTGCCATACTATTACAAGCGATTCGCGCCCTCGTCTCCGCAAGAAGAATCCTCCCGTCTGCTAGTTGTTGCACGTGCAAGACATGGCCTGTGAAATCCAACACAACATACGGAGTACTACTATTACATTACCTGACTACTCCGTATTGCCAGACGAAATGGGATATTGCTCCGCGACACCTAACCCAGCCCCAACTGCACGGCGGAGGAAGCAAAGCAATACACCGTTCAATGTGCTGATTCCGTTGACTGCTGGCTAAGAATTGGCGTCCGGACTGGCCTACAGACTACAGTTGCAGTGGTATCGAAGACGCCATACTTGCATCCGCTTAGATGTGTGCATTGGTTATTGAGCGCCGAGCACGGAATAGTGCATTCGCGGCATTCCATGTTGACTCAGCGGCACTACTTTAAGAGCATTCGTCTGTCGGCATCATAGGGGAACCACAAAGGGCATCATGAAGGCATCATCAACATGACGAGCGTCAGGCAAAAACGGCAAAATCCGTCCATTGTCCCGCTCTACCCGGTCGTCACTTGGCCACATGGTCATAGTCTCTCTGAAAACGCAAACACCACGACGACAAGGGTTGCTCATGACCCAGCCCGTGAGCACTCACTCCGCTAGCCCAACGCCTCTCGTCCGAGACATTCGACCAGGTCAAGGCATCAACCATCGTCGCCCGCACCCAGTTCGCACAAAAACCACGACGCACGACTCGCACAAATCTCACTCTGACTGTGTCTCCGCGTAATGTACTTCGTAGTCGAGCAAACAGACACACAACCCACTAAACGCACGAGACTCATCAGCATGTTTGTCTCGTCTCTGCTGACTCGAAAATCAAAAGCCTCGCTCATCTCCTGGCAAAAGCCCAGTGCCCAAAGCGGGTCAAAATGTCTCTCCCTCACACACCAATCTCAACCACAACTCTGGCTTCTTTTTTTAGCATCCCTCAATTTCAGCGCTCCGTCAGATGTCTCATTTACTCCCCGGCATTACCCTCGTCCGCTGCTCAACTACGGAGTACGGAGTACTTCTTCTTCTTCTTCTTCTTCTTCTCTGCGTGGGAGTGTTCTAGTTTACCCGTGAAGTTCCCCAGTACCAATACGCCGCATTTTCTATTTATGTGTTTGTGTAATTTCGCTCCGGACGCCATTTTGTCTGTTCGCCCCGGAATCCTTATCGGTTTCACGAATTCAACCGTTAATCGCGGATGGGCTAGCGAACCTTGCCTTGATTATCAGCCAACCCGACTCTCAGTAGAGGCCTGTGCTTGTCCTTGTGAGACCTCTCTCTTGGTTGGTTCCCGTTGTTGTTGTTGTTCTTGTTGTTTCGGGCGCTGTAGAAATGTTGGTTGAAAACTAACCAAATGTGTCATGTGTCTTGCAATAAAAGACGTTTAATTACGCGGGGCTTCGGGCATTGGCTCGGTGAAGCCCTCATAAAAGAGAGCACATGCTAATTCGTAAATTTGATCCTTGGCAGACGATTCTCGTCACATTGCGAACGCTCTTCTCTTGGTGATTATTGGGTCGGGGACATATTAGAAAGTGAATTTTTTTCAAGCAAAAAAACCTGCAGGTTATTGAACGCACACATCACTTTGTCCGTGTCACCGTCTGGGTTCACCTTGCCTCTATTTCAGCCGGAGCCTTCTGCATGGTCATTTTTCAGCTTGAAATTGTATTATTTTTAGAAAGCTCATTTCCAAATGAGCATGTTTACAAGCAGACTATGCAGGTTGTTTCCTACAGCCACTTCACCTTGGCAATGTGATCGAGCTTTTTCTTACTACTCTTTACGAATCCTAGAGCCCGCAGCTCCGCAAGACCCCGATAAAACATCACCAACACTTTCCGATCATCATCTTCCTGCTCATTAACTAGGGTATGAAAGGCCGACCACAAGTCTGCCACGTTGATCAAGTTCCCCGTTTCAAGATACAATTGGTACAGGATAGATGTAGCAGGGAGTGTTGCTTGCAGGCCCCCGCCATCAGTTTTGCAGCATGAGCACCCGAGATAGTCGTGCGGACGAGCGAGACTACGCTCAAACACAGCGCGTGGTCGAGGAACAAATACTTGTCGCGAAGGTGACTTGGAATCGTAGAGCCAGCACTCAGCAAACAAAACCTCGGTGGCGTTGGTATCCGGATGATAAGCAGACAGTGCAGCCGTCACTTGGTCGACAATCTCAGTAAATATCTTATCTTCATCGCGAAGAGCAGCAGAGTCTTGACTCAGCTGCACCTTTTGCGCGATGACGGTTGTGCGCATGATTTTGCTTTGTCCACTATATTTACTTCGTAGCGACGTTCCTTGTTTGTCTGCCTTGGCTCTGAGCCGCTCCAGCTCCTCAAGCTTGGTCTCCAGTGTCGTTTGCACGTGTTGATCCTGCTCGTCTGTAGATGGGCCCAAACGCAGCATTGCGTCTCCCTCTTTGAAAATCCCAATGATATCATCAAGTACTCTGGATAATTCATCTGGGTTCATCCTGCGGATGAGCGCTACCAGGGTAGACTGTCCAGGCGGCATCGAATCGCTTCCTCCCATACCGTCGACATATGCTCTTGAGAAAGCGCCCCGTTGCGCACCCGCAGCTCGTACTATCAGTAGGGCGCGAAGGTATCTCCCAGCCCAGGTTTGCTTGTTACTGTGCCCCCGTCTAATTTGCTTGAGAAGATATTCGTTGCTGTCAAGCAGAGACTTGGCGTGCTGGAGTGATTCACTCGTGTTTTTCTCTACTTCCCGCTCGACAGCGTGCCGAAATGAAGGTAGATTACGAGCAGCTTCGAGATGCTCTGCCTGGGGAGCGTCGTCTCCATCGGACGAGCAAAGGATGCTGAGTGGGTTTGCGTAAAAGTGACACATGTATGCGTACTTGACCAAGTCAGACATCCATGTCAGAAACCGTGACGCCAGAACCGGAAGAAAAAAGGGGGGGAAGGTCGCGAAATACCTTTAGGGAGCTAATAAATGATTGGATGCCAGCTACTTGCTCATGCTGTCGATCCAGCATGCTCTGGAGAAGAGGGCCACCCAGTATCAAGGGGACATCGGCGGCGGCAACGGCTCCCTTGAAGACGGTTTCGAGGATGTTGCCGGCCTGGGCGGCATCGAACTGCGCGCCGTATACCAGTCGGCAGGCGGACTTGAGCAGGCGCGCTTGCAGTAACTCCACCGAGGTGGCGATGCCAAACAGCAGAGTGAATGGAATCCGAGGACGCCAAGAGCTGGGCATAGAGTTAGCCGCAGAGCAAGGACAAACATGCACAGCACGTACTGGAACAGAGCAATCAAGTCGGACAGCAAGCCGCTGTCAAAGCCCTCGCTGTCCTGAAACGCCACGAAGACGTGCTCACACCCAAGCGGCCTGATGAAAGCCTCCAACGCCTCCAGATCATACTCTAGATATCGCCGGCCCTAAATTCCCCTCTTCCGACTGAGCAACGCAAACAAAGCCAACGTATTGCTTTGGGAAGGGGGGAGGACTTACGTTCGGCACCTCATCAATTTGCATCTCCTCGTCCTCGCCGTCTCCCGTTATCGCCATGGCATCTCTAATCGTCTTCTTCAGCGCAGCCTTGAGCGTCAGCGCCTCCGAGGACTTCAACCGCACAAACCGACTCGCGGGCTGCTGGCCCAACGTCTCGGAGAGCTGTTCAAACAACAAGCCCTGCGAGGCGATATTCGGCCCCGTCACGACAAACGCAGAGGGTATCTGGTCAATTCTTGTCCCGGAATCAAATTAGCTCCTGCCGTGCCATAGTCACGTTTTGAAATAGGCGCATGCATACCCTGCGGCCGCAGCATCATTCACAAACGCCGAGACTTGGTCCAAAGTCGCCGAGTTGGACTCTCTCAAAATCGCCTACGCAGCGTTAGCTACCACCTTTCTTTGTGCGAAAAGATCACCTTTTTGAATAAAGATTCTTTTTTTTTGTGTGTGTGTGTGTATGTGTGTGTGTACCTGGATTCTAAGATCAATCATCGCCCACGCCTCCTCGAACCTCGTCTGCCTCAATCTCACAAACGCCTCCTGCTCAGCACCGTTGAGCAACGGCACAAAAAGCGGCGCCTCGTCGGCTTGTCCGCTCTTCTTGGTAGCGCCCTTGGATACTCGCCGTCTTTTCGGCGCCCTCGGTTCCCGACGAGCATTGTCGTCTTGGTCCGGGTCAAAGATGTAAGCGACCTAGATGTCACGGGGTCGGTTAACACCAACTCATGGGTGAAGTGAGCGTGGACTGGCGGACTGGCGGACTGGCATACCTGGTGGTCTTCTTGGGCAAAGGTATCCCGAGACTCGCCTTCTTGATCCATCTCTGGGGGAGTCTCGGAGGTGTGTGTGATGTCACTTTTTTCTCCTCAAAGTATGGGCTTTTAATTGAGCTGTCCCTGGGGGAGACGCGCCGATTCGAGGTTCCAGCGCGTTTTCGTTTTGACATTCCGCACTGTATTAGACACTGTACTGGCTTGGCAACCTGCAGCGAACGGAAGACGCTGTGACTTGCCAAAGGGCTCGAAAAAGGCATTAGGAAGTATTTCGTCATGAGCCAACTGATTCAGAAACTGCACTCGTTCAGAAACCATGTTTTACTTTGTGCCTCGAAAGCAATCGTGGACCAATCTACGCAACCCTCTTCACCACAATCGCCAGCCCCGACTTCAACCTCCTCGTTTTCACGTCGCCACCACACTTCCTCAAAGTACAACTCAAGACGCGACGTTACCACATTGGCAACGCTTGTTTTTGTGTCATGAGCTGTACAGATTTGTCTCAGAAATATCCCATCGTGAAATTCATAAGCTAAATAAATACCTGGAACTTTTAGTCAGGTCAAGAGACACCTCGCCTCTCTGATTACCCGACCAGTGACAACAAAATATGTTCGCCGCTCCCATTCTTTCTGCAAAAATAAGCCCCAGGCCTGTCCTGGCTCACCCTGCATCCCACCATCCCAGCCACGTCACACCTTTTGTATGTTGAAGTGTCCCCCCCTTTTTTTTGTTTTTGTTCTTTCTTTTTGTGTGTCCGTTGTCGCCACTTCACTTGTATCTCTCCCCTCCTTCTCTGTGTATTCGCACACATGCCTGGCTGAAAGGCCATAACCATGACATGCTCGTGTACAACGACTCTGCTCGGCGAGGCTGCAAATAACTGGGCTCAAAGACGCCATTAAAGACTGTCATCAATGTTATGACCTTCTCCTGGGCAAAGAAATATTCATACATCAACCACCCTGTCCCAGCCCAACCAGATTGTCTGATTTGAAACATACGGCAATGTATCTTGCCCCTGCGCCTCAAGGGAATCAAAAAGGAAGACAAACTTTGAAAACAAAAAAATTGATATAACTCCTCGATTGATTCTGTAAACACAGTATGAAATAAGTGACGTGCTAGATTAGCCGTTTCGCTCCTGAAGCAAGCGGCGGCATAAGTGCGCATCAAGGGTATTCGGGAAAACTAGGCCATGTTTACTGTGACAAAATTAGAACTCGTTTTGTGAACCACCACACGCATCTCGTCGACTAACCTCGTCGGCACCCTTGACACTGGTTGGTTCGCCAGCATCAGCCTTCTCGGCTTTTGGCTCTGCGGTAGCCTCAGTCTTGGACTCGCCGTCTACCTTCACGCCGTTGGCGTCAGATTTCTTGGCTTCAGCATGTGACTCTGAGGCACCATTAACTCCATTTGTGGCGGTATCACTAGCCAGCAACTTGTTCCACTTATCAAGAAGAGACTGTGATCGCTTCTTGAACTGGAACTCCTCTTCGCGAGGAATAGCATCAAGCTTGAGTATGGCCTTCAGGACCTTGTTGATTTTGGTAGCCCGAATGATGGATACTTCAAGGTCACCAAACTTCTCGAGCAGAGTGATGAAGTCTGACATGCTCTGCATCTCCTCTTCCTTGGGTTGCTGTTCTCGTGTCAAGAGACCCTTTTGGAGCTTGTGGCGAAGGAATAATACTTCCTTCTATATGCTGAATCAGTAACATAACTTCGACGGTGGGGCATTAAAACACATGTTGAAGACTTACAACCTTGCGCTTGTGACGCTCTTCGGGATCAATCTTACTTTCCTTGGAGCTCTCAGCCTTCTTCTCGCCCGCTTCCTTAGCCTCCTTGGGCTTCTTGGTCTTGACTTTGGTTATCTTGGCAGCAGACCCAGCAGTGGACTTTGGTGCACTAGCTCCGTTTGCTGTCTTTGGCGTAGACGACGTGTTAAGTTTAATCTTGGGCTTCTTGACAGAATCGGGGCGTTGAGGAGTCTTAATTATACAAACATCAGTCAGCCCATCGTCGCCCTTGGATTCGCCATGTGTATGTGGAATAGCACTTACAGCAACCTCGTCTTCTGCCTTTCTCTTCTTGGACTTCTTGGCGGATGCATCAGGCTCAACCACCTCGGCGTCTTCTTCCTCTGCAGCCTTGCTCTTGCCCTTCTTTCCTTTCTTGGGAGTGGCAGCGGCTTCTCTCCGCGCCTCCTCTTGAGCAATCAGCTCTTCCTGGAAGCTCTTGAGGATGTCTTTGTAGTACTCGACGGGGTGGTGCTCAATGGCCAATTCATATGCGGCTTTTAGGTCTTTGCGCATCTTGTCGTTGATTGTTTCCTTGGCCTTCTCAGCACTGAGCTCCGAAAGGTTGGTGTTCTTCTCCCATCCACTGTAAATGCACGTTAGCAAGGGAAAAAAAAACACAATCCTAAAATTTGCGGCATGAGCACCGGAGACTCACAACTCGTTGGTGTGCAGGTACATGACGGGAAAGGTTCGGTCATTGACACGCTTGCCGCCATCAGCAAAAGCTTCAGCATATGTGCCGTCTGGTCTGGCTGCAGAAACAGGTCGGCTGGTAACGAGGGCGTGAGGCAGCATGTCCTCATCGCAAATGATGGCAGGCCAGGCGGGGAAACCTTTGAGCTTCACCAGGAAATGATCACCAGGCTTGGCATCAGTGTGAGTCAGGCGGGCCTTTGATCCCTTCCTGCTAAGACCGCCTCCAGTAGACTTGCGGCGACCGCCCTTGGCTTTTGCCGTCGGGGTCTCTGCAATGGTAACAGTGGTAGTGTCCGCCTCGACCGCCGTCGTGTCCGCCGCGTCCTTCATTTCGACATCCGCATCACCGGCGGGGGTGTCTTTCTCAGGTTCGGCCTTCTCGGTCGTCATGTCAGTAGCTTCGGCAGGCTTAGGCTCTAGTATCGCACAATCTTGTCAGCACGGTCCGCCAGGTGAAGCAAATCCACCTTGGGCTGCGACGCGACGGAAGAGAATTTTGGCCCAAGTAACGGTTCTTGGCAACAAGACGTCTTGGTCGCATGCTAATGCTCGGCTTCCTTGTCAAGTGCAAAACTTACCATCTGAGCCCTTCGCGCCGTCCTCAGCAGCTCCGCCCTCAGGCTTAGTCTCGTCAGCCTTGGTTTCGGGAGCAGCAGCAGGAGGAGCGTCAGCCTCAGCACCTGCAACTGCACCTGCACCAGCAACTGGCGCCGTGATCTCAGCGTTCTCGGATGCCTTTTCAGCCATTGCGGCGCAAGAGTGAGATGGCGACGACGCGCGATTGTTCGGTGGGAGTGGAAGAGTTGGCGTCGTGCTTCACGGGGAATGTTGTGTAGCTACACGAACAACGGCAAAGCTCAGGCAGGTGGCTGAACGCGTACCGGGTCGCGTAGGACGTATGTCGTATTGAGATGAAGTCGCAAAAGGCGTGCTGGCGCAAAAACGGCCGAAATTGTAGAGTTGGATTGCGCAATTGCAGAGGATCCTAGCCACTCCCGCGTTTTGCCTTGGATGGGGGTTGATGAAGGGAAAATACGTGTAGGCTGGGCACAACGGCCAAAGCAAGCACCTCAAACGTCACCAGTAAGAAGCTATCACGTGACCCGTGTGTCGCTCATCGAGATGATCCCAGCAGATGCCACGACTCCAGAGGCCGTGGACAGAGCCGACAGGCCTCACAGGCCTCACAGACCGGCCGGACCAGCCATTGAACTTGTGTTGGCCTCTGTTGGACGCTCGTAAATCCCGCGCCAAGCAGAACGCAGAATGGCCGGGCTGCTGTGCTCAAACCGCCTCGCCCGTTCACAGGTTTACACGTCTGCACACTCGCACAATAACAAACACCAGACCCAACAGGTCTTCTTTTTTCGCCCAGTCTCAGTCCCCGCGCTGAAAGCCCCCAAATGCAGCATCCGTCAACCAGTCGTGTTTCTGTGTTTCTGACGCCACTATCCAATGTTGTTGCTGGTTTGTCTCATCGGGCATCTGACCCCTTCTCAATTGAAGCCTTCACAGTCCTCTATGCTATAATATATGAGGGTGAACATTCTGAGTAGCCAAACATATTCTGCCACAGAACAACCGCAGTCATCACTGCAGTCAAAGCGGCCGGTGGGAAATTGTGTGAACCAAGAAAACAAAAATGACACCCATGTATTGACCTTTATAAATCTCAGCCCGCAGTGTCAGGTATTGTACATTTTCGCTCTCACGACACAACCCATTATTCCCCCAACACCACAGCCCAAGACACCGAGTACCTATTCCTCCTCGTCTTCATCGTCTTCGTCATCATCCACGTCCATTCCTTCAGCCGCTGTAACCGTAAACTCGCGCTCCTGGTCCACCCCAACATAACTGTCACTCATTAGGAACAGTTTCAAGTTGTGCTCCCCTGCTGCTGGTACAGTATACTCGAGTTTGACAGTGAGCTCGCGACCAATTGTCACTCGCTTGATAGCCAAGAGGTTGCGAGTCTTGTCATCTCCAACGACCAGCCACCAATTCTCCATCTTCTTTGTCGGGTAGAATGGTGCGTGCACAGTCGAGTCAACCTCATCGTCCTCTTCCACATTACGTGTTATCTTGATGCTGAGATACGAGGGCTCGCCTGCTTGGATTTCATCTTCGTCAAGAACCTCATGCTCAAGCTCAAGGTCTGGGTACTTGTCATTTGTAAAGCCAGCGGCCTCTGCAAGCTGCTTCTGTGATAGGCCGAGACGCTTAACCAGGTTATTATACTCGGGGTTCTCGTCGGGGTTCATGGCTTCCATGAAGTCAAAGATGTCCTTGATACTATGGGCTCTGTTAGTACACACAACTCCTGCAATGAAACCTTTACTTTAAATGAGCATGAAAACTTACCCAAAGTCATTCGCAACCTTGACCACATCTTGTGCGAAGTGAGGAATCTGCTTCAGCGGACTATCTCGGTCCCACATGGCTTGGACAACCATTTGTGACATCTCCATGGCGTTCATGGCATTGAGATGGCCGTCAGACGACAAAATATCAACCATGGCGCTTAAGAGACTGAGTACTCTTGACAGCAGGATTTCTTGGTCCTTCGCCAAATCAATAGGAAGCTGCATCCTGGAGAAGTGTGCTTGAAGAAGGACAAAGGCCTTGAAATGAGGCGAGTCATACACGGGCTGCGACATCTTGACGGGGACTCTGTCGTAAATCCGGCGGAGAAGACTCTCTTCGTGGCGTCGCACTTGGATTGATTCAAACTCGGTGGCCGAGGTGACAATTTCAAGAATTCCCTTCAACTTGGTTCGCGCGCTCAGCGAGAGGAGGAAAGTCTGCATTGTAATGTATGAGATGTTGTAGTATGCGCCAATCATGGCCGCATTCTGAGGTGACACACTTCCGTCCTCGTCGTCAAAGTCGATAATCTTTGACTCGCTCAGCTCACGCAATGTTGTCTCCACGAGGTCGGACATGTAATTGCTGAGGCCATCATGGGTGGTACTGGTCAAGCTATAGTAGCTAGGATTGGCCAGCAATCGGCGATAAAAGTAAGTGAACGTGGTCCAGTTGATGGCATCATCACCGGATTCGATCATCTTTGTGCTGATTTCCGTCACAAACGCATCGTGAAGATAGTTGTGCAGGTGTGACTCGACAGGTAGAGCTTCGTTCAAAAACTTCTTGTAATACTCGCGCTTCACTGAGGGGACCATGAGAACACCGCGCCCTCTTCCGTCCTTAGAGGGCTTCAATGACTTGCCAAACATCTGCAATACTTCGCTAAGTGGGTAGTCCACATATCGGTGTTCCCTTCCCTCAAAATACTGAGTGCCCATGACAATCACAAGGTGTGCCGTGCTAGTCAACTCCCAGCATGTGTCTCTTGAAGTAACGAGGACCTGAATAGCACCATTGTCATATAGATGCTTTACAATGCGCTTATCACTCTGGCTAAGGGCTTCGTGATAGTATCCAATACCATGCGAGAGCGCCTCAGCCAAAGCTTCTTCATGGACACGGTCGAGAAGCGGCCGCATCTGGTCTACTTCAGCGTGCAGGAAGCGGTCCTCGTCATCATCCGCAACGCAAGCGGCAAGCAAGTCTCTGGCGGTTTGCCTTGTTTGCTTTCGACTAGAGACGAAAATCATGGCTGGCTTATCTGGCGACATCTGAGTGATAGCAAGGTATGCAGGCTTCGCCATAGCCAGCATAAGGGACGGGAAATGAGAGTTTGAGTAGGATTGAACATGGAGCTCCAGAGGCACTGGTCTAACATGCGGACTGAAGTTGTAAATGTCATGTTTCTTTGCGTCAATCCACTCGCCCATGTCTCGCGCATTTGCCAAGGAAACACTCAATGCAATAATGCGCATTGGCAGTTCTGTTTGTGTTCGAATATAATGCATGCGCGAGACAATGATTTCGTAGACATAGCCCATATAACCCCCGAGGAGATGAATATCGTCAGCGATAAACAGCTCAATAGTTTGCACATTCTTGCGTCTCTTCCACTGCCTAGACAAGACATCCCACTGTGTTGGTGTGGCCAGGATGAGGTCTCCCTTCTCCAGAATCTTCAAGTCAGTAGCAGTCTCCCCAGTCAACTTGACAATTTCCTTTCCGCCGTTCAAGTGAGCCAACCTCTTCTGCCAGTCATGTAGCCTAGCGTCAACAACCTCCTGAAAGGGGGCAACGTAGACCGCTCGACCAGCACTACCCTGGTTCCAGTGGCGAAGAATGGCAAACTCGGCGCACACCGTTTTACCACTGCCAGTCGGGGCACCAATGAAGACGTTCTGATCAGTCTTGTACAAGGAATTGAAGGTTTGGGTCTGAATCCTATTGAATTGTTTCCAGTCAGGGTACAAATCAACATAATTAGAAACCTTCAAGGCAGAAACAGGAAGAGGCTGCAATTCCAAGAGTTCAGTGTGAGGCGGGAACTTCTCTGGCAGAATGAGCTTGTGGAAGGGAACAGCCAATCTCGTCTCCGAATGCATCCATCTGTCTGAAATTACAGACACGAAGTAGTTGGGAGGCATTGGGTCAGTGATGGGAACGGTGAAATCAACGATGTGCTCATTTGACTCGGACTGGGCGTAATCTTTGCGCAGAAGGAAGGTATCATGGAACAAGATGTCTTCACCATCGCAGTCTTCAACAATAATCCAGAAACTCTCAGCAGCACCGTGCAGACTGTCGTCCCACTCGAAATTAGGAGTGATGCTGAGTTCTACTCTGAGCATGGACCGTGTCATTGGCTGAACTTGGGCTTGAACATCAACTCTCGGGAATTTGGCGACGAAGCCACAAACAGCTCTTCCAGCCTTGGGCATGCCGAGCAACTCGCCCATACGAGGAGGGTCGAGGTCAAAATAACTGCTCCACGAAACATCGATTCGCTCTGCCTTCTGAATAATATCTTTGGAGCAAGTAGGAAACTGGCGTAAAGGTGACATAGTCGGCCACATGCGTTTCTCAGCCATCTTGCACAAGTCCAGCGCAGTCTTGGCGACAGATGCCCAGCCTTTCCTGAGAGCAATTTCAAACACGGCACGCAGGATACGCCCAGCGCTCTGAGTGACATAAACCATGTCGGCCATAAGAGCAAGTCCTTCAAGCTTAAGTCGAGAGATGTATGCTTGCAAAAGAACATTGATCTTTGCATGCGGTTCTTCTATGCTCTCCTTTACGGGAACGGGTACCCTGCCCATAAGCTTTGCCAACTCAAGCTTCTCATCTTGTCGCACGGGAATGTATTTGAACTCAGCGCTCAGAGCAAAGACACGGAAAAGCTCGATGGTGGTAATTGATGGCTGGATCAGATTGTTATAGGTATCCATGGACGTAGAAGTAATGTAGTAATGCGAGGCAATACGGCCTAGTTCGGTGGATTGCAACTTGCCCGATTTTTCATCATACTTGATGAGATTTGACTTTCGCAGCATCAACGCAGCAGAGTGTATAAGATCGACACGTTTCTGCTCCAAGGCATCATCGTCTTCGTACTCAACTCCAACTTGATGCAGTCCCGGGGATCGAAGCATTCGAACAAAAAGATAGGTGTATCCAAGCCACTCAACGCCCTCATCGCGGGTCCTGACATTTCCTAGCACAATTTCGGCGTTTAGATTGTCCACCAACTTGCTAACAAACTGACTTTCAATAGGCAGCTGCTGATTGAGCAGGGAGAGATAATATTGAATTTCGGTCTGGGTTGTGATGATAATACCTTCACCATACGTGTCGAACTGCGGCCGACCCGCGCGCCCAAGCATCTGGAGCACGTCTTGAGGGCTCAATTCAACCCAGCTACCCTTTTCCGGCGAGTAGACTTGTGTGCCTTTAATAACGACTGTATGAGCAGGCAGGTTGACACCCCAGGCCAAGGTGGCCGTTGACACCAAAACTTGGATAGCGCCACTGGCAAAGAGGTCTTCGACATCGGCTCTGTCAACTCTGTTCATACCGGCGTGATGGATACCAAATCCATATGGCAATATGTCCTTGAGATCTGCATCGGTTGCCTGGCTGGCAGCTTCATTGAGAACCTCGCGGCTTCCCGCGTCATGTCGAAGTATCTGATTAATGGTGTCCAGCTCAAGCGCCTTGTCTCGGATATATTTCGCGGTTTTTGCAGTCTCCTTCCTTGAATGAACAAATATAATCATTTGGTTTCTGTTTGAACCAACATGCTCCATAACCTTGTTGTAAGTGACATCATTCATCGTCTTCAATTGTTTGATAGCCTTGCGGTCCGTGACGCCAATGAACTCCTGACGCAGCGGGCAAGGTCTGAAGGTACTGTCAAAGTGGAAGAGATCCTTCTTGATATCACAACGCAAGAAGCTCGCCACATCCTTGTAGTTGGGTAGCGTAGCAGACAAACCGACAATTCGAACAGGCTCGCCTGTTTGTTCTGTCTTCCGGATGATTCGGGCAACAATACTCTCCAGAACAGGTCCGCGGTCGTCGTGGAGTAAATGAATTTCATCAATAATAACAAGACGAACGAGGTTTGTGTAGGTGAGGTCATTGGACTTTCTGGTAATAACATCCCACTTCTCAGGTGTAGTGACAATAATCTGAGTCTCGGCGATTTGCTGCTTGGTGAGTTGTCGATCGCCGGTCAACTCAGAAACACGAATACCATATGGCTCAAGTCTCTTGCCAAAGTTGCCGACTTGTTCCTGGACCAGGGCCTTCAAGGGAGCAATGTACACGATTTTAAAGGCATCCAGATCAATGTCACCGGTCTCTGCGTTTCTATTCTTGCCAATTTCTCGCAAAATGGTCAACATCGCGACGTTTGTCTTACCACTACCGGTAGGGGCACACACAAGCATGTTGCCATCGTCCTGGAAGGCCGAAGGATAGCACTTCGACTGAATTTTGTTCAGAGATTTCGCGGTGCTGAATGGCAGACGCGACCACTCGGGCATATCGGTAATGGGAATCAGGACATCTCCAGGCTCGTTTCTCTTCTTGGGCGGTGGAACATGTATCTCCTCGTAGCCCTTAAATGATCTCTTCGTAGAGCCTTCTGGCAATCGGACCTTGGCATTCGTCATGAGATGATTACCTTGGTCGAACACCAAGTTGTCAAGATTGACAACTTTCTTGGGTTGTAGACCTCCAACTAACTGACCCTCTGGTCGTTCTTGCTTTGGCGCTTCAGCATTGAACGAGGCAGGGACATCAATGTCCATTTTGATGTCTACCTTTCGTTTCTTGTCATCTCCAGCGGCGGATTTGCCTCGCAACTCGTCCAGAATCGATTGAAGGCCTTCAGAACCCATCTCGCGTTCGACATTTTCCCGGTCTTCGGCAGAATCCGCACGTGCCAGCTTCGTCAGCCAGAACACTTTTTCTCTATTTTCGACGAGCTTCTGCACAAGTTCGTGGTGCTCAAAGTCGAACAGCTCCATGAGATCATTTTCTATCTCTCGAAGGGATTTCTCTTCGCCCTCGGGCTCGTCTGGTTCACCAGACAGGATACGAAGAGCATCTTTGGTCTTGTTCGATTGTTCATGAGCGTCGGGATACAGAGTACCAATCTGGCGCTGCAGCCAAAACGCGTCAATATCTCTGGCAGGTATCGAGCTCTTCTCTTCGCCTTTCCTTTTGGAACCTCCTGGGCCTGAATCCAGAACCATTTCGTCGTCATCCAGGTCCTCAACTGGCTTTGGTCCAGATGTCTCGCCATTTTCGTCATCTTCATCTTCACCCTCTTCGTCTTCGGAAGATTCGTCTCGAACTTCGTTTATAATCTCATCTTCGTCCTCGTCCTCGTCAAAGGCTACGGCAACACCTTGACGCTCATCAATCTCGGCATCATCACCATTAGCGTCGCCTGTATTAACATCTTCATCATCGTCTTGCGCATCGTAGTCGGTGATCTTCTTTCCCAGGTTGACAAGCTCGTTGAACTGCTTGGGGTTCATAGTTGAGCCTAAAATATCGTCGATTTCCTTCTTCTTGTCCAAGTCCTTCAAGTCATCATCTTTGAGGTATTCCAGCACAGCATCGGCGGCACTGCGGACAACTTCCTGAGGTACGTCGCCCAGATTTTTGGCAACCAAAGTCAGTATTAAATCGAAAGTGGCGCGTGTTGCTTGCGTTCGTGGCCGATATGTAATACCCTCGATCAAAGCATCGTTTGCGCCGAGGACGCCAGTCCCTCTCTGTTGTTGTGCCTCTGCTTTCCGTCTTCGTTGTTCTCTAAGTAGAACATCCTCACCCTCTTGGAGACTACCTCTTTCTATGTCGGGCATTCCAGACTGCTTCTTCTGCTTTGGTGCTTCGTCCCGTGCAACTCTGGCACCCATGTCCTTGATGCTTAATCGTCCAGCAAGGGATTCAGGGTCGCCCGTGGCCTCGTCAGTTCGTCGCGTGACAAACCGACGGTCCGCCTGGAGAACCAGGTTGGACATGGCCGAGTACTTGTATTGCGAGACATCGCGATGAGGGTCCGACATCTTTACTGTTGGCAGTTTGTACAAGGTCTCGCGAGGGAGTAGGCCGACGGGCTCGACGAAGGCTCGGAGGGCGCTTGGCCTCTATATCACCATAAGTCTGACGGATGGGTTATTCGGGTATCCAGAAATAGGTTCGCAAAGTCAGATGTCCAGGTGACGTGGCTGAGGGTTGTAATTGGGTTGGCTTCGACTCGCCACCGTGATCTGTTTACGACGTCGAATGCTGGTGTTTGATAAATTTCAATCTGGGCCTTGCAGGCTACAGCACTAGTCCAAAATCGGGCCGGTGTGGGGCACTCTCAACTACAGGCTCCCTCCCAACTGTGAGAGATCTGTTGTGACTAATGACCTAATAAACAGCCCGCAATTGCAGAAGCCAATTTCTCAAGCCAATTACACACACTCTTCTAGCATGTCAAATTCACTAGAGTTCTAAAGCCCAACGGAAAAATGAAAATGATGAAATAAAATATTCACCAGGCATTTGGTCCTTCGTGCACTACCCGCAGGCGGCAATGATACCAGACACCGTTGACCACTGTAGATTTTGGCCGCCAGTGGAGCTTTTTGATTCGAGAGTCTACGTCACTTAAAACATATTTCATAAGAAGCTGCAGCATCGTATTTGATTAATAATCTCAAGACTTGGTTTCAACAATGCATTCTCGTGATAAAGGTGAATAACAACTTTCTGGTAAGCTATCCAGGGCGAGAGCGGTTGCAAGTCTTGTTTATTATACGTCATAGCCTAGATAGAACTAACCTATACTCCCTCTCAACGGCATTCGTCGTCGTCGTCGCGAAAAACTGCCTTTCGATGTGTTTATAGGGGCTAAACTTAACTCACGGTGTAGATCAATATACTTTTCGTGATGTTAAGGTTTAAAGGAAGAAATATTATCGCAATACGCGAAATGAACTAGGTGGGGTGTGTCATGATTAGATTGCCCACTGTGCACCGTAAGACCCTTGACTAACACATCGTCTTCATCTTACAACCAAACTAAAAGCATTACGGCATGTCAGCATGGATTCTTCCCCCGAAGCGACTATATCAAAATTTCAGGAAACTCTTGAGCCATACATAAAACCTCGCGAACAAGTCAACTATATCAGACGTATCCTAGCTCTTGAACTAGGTTCCTACACCGGCGATGGACCAATCCGGCACCCCCTGTCACTCAATGACGGACCAATCGACAGACATATTGGCTCAGAACTCAAAGGCCTACACAAAGAATACATCGCGGCTCTTCACGCAAACAGTATAGCTCGTCAGGAGTTCGAGAAGATAGCCAACGAAACCACGTCAAAACCCACTGCCCCTGCAAAGTCGGCCACAGGCAGCACCCCATCCTCTCTCGAAGAACACCTGGCTCTCCTGAAGCTCCGCAAAAAGCACGAAAGTCTCATCACAATCCAAACTTATCTAAACCATCTATCCGAGGCCCCTGCCGCTGGACAAGATGCGCTAGACGTTGAGAAAGTTCTCAGAGGCGGCATGGCTCTGCCCAGCGTTCCCAGCTCGGTAATCAACAGCTTCGTGGTCGAGCAGAGCGCAGGTCAGCCCGACCTTCAAACCCGCGTCAATCTACTAGACAAAATTGTGCTTCGAACAAAGCTGCTTCTGAAACGGGAAGAACAGCTCCTGGCCGAGGCAAAGGCAAGATGCAAAACAAAGCCAGAGCTCATCAGCAACGGCGCAAAATTACAAGCCCTTGACAGCACGCGTAATGAGCTAATCCGGTGGGTTGAAACGGAGTTGAGCAAGGCGTCGACGGAAGATGACGAAACGGCGACCGCGCAGGCACAGACACAATCAGCAGACGACCAAGCTACGATTACAAGGCAACTGCAGCAAATCCAAGACGAATACAAAGAATACGTCACCGCAAGAAAAGAGCTGCTGAAACTCATATCCCAAACACCCCAGCCGTCACTACCACCCCCAGAGACAACAACCGCCACATCATTGCTTAAATCCGCAGAGACAGAATCTCCATCCACGGACTTCCTCATCACCCCGTATATCCAAGCCCTCCTCACCCAGGCCCAACTCCAAAAGGCCCTCATTACCCATAAATCGCACATCGCCGCGTCATTAAGCAGGCAGAACAAGGAGTCATGTCAGCTCCTCGGCCGTCTAGCCGAAGAAAGCCAGCTGCTGTCAGCATATCCAATGAAGGACTCTACACGAAGACGATCGGGCATCCCGGAGATCATAGCGGCCAAGCCTAATGAGCGGCCTGACATGGCTAGCCGTGTCAAACCGTGGATATTTGCCTCCGACGCCGCCAAGATTAGCACGTTGGAGGCGGTAGCGGAAAAGGTGGAGGTTGGGCAGGTGGCGCTGGAGAACTCGATGGAGGCCATTCACGAGATGGCCGTGTTGCTGGGACTGGATGAGGAAGACGAAACAGACGAGATGGATGATATGGAGGAGGACATGTGGTTGCAGGGATCTATCAAAAGGCAGCCCAGGAAGAAGGTTCCGGCACCGAATAAGGGCGATCCTTGGGCACGAATCCACGGCAATCTTGGCCTGATCGGCCACGACAACGTATGAAGAGAGGTCTTAATATGGATGTGCTTGTCAGAAACTGCTTTTATATGTTCCGCCACGGCGACTGGCCTATTTGAGCGTCAACGCCACACCACCCCTTATAAACCCCAAACCCCAAACGCCAACTGATATGCTCTAGACTGTACATAATTTTACTTGCCAGCTAAAATGGCCGATATCCTCATTGCAAGATCCAGAATTGATAGGTGCTCGTCTGCTCCGTCCACTAGTCTCTTATCGACCTCTGAAAAGACCATAACGATCTTGTTCTTGTGAGCATCTGCTATCGTCTCATCTGTTGTCAGAGCTTGATACAGCTACAGGATACGTCAGCTTCCTTGGAATACCAGGCGCAAAGTAGTAAACAAGGGCACATACCTGCGAGACTACCTGAGTCGCACTCCACCCATCCGCGACCATATCTTCCACAATCTTGGACACAGAGCGATACGTTTGGCCCGCGTCCCGCGGACGTAGAGCATCAACCAGCCCATCAATCGTCTGTCCTGGGATGACACCGGCAATGTCCTCCACAATCTTGGCTGTCACGGGCTTACTGTCCACGTCCATTTGTTCATCACCATCGCCGTCCTTTCCCGGGGCACTCGCGCCAACTAATCTCGCCGCACTCTGCAGGAAAGTAATGGCTTTGCGCAAATCACCCTCGCTGCAGCGAATGAGCGCGTCGATGGCGCCATCCTCAAGTGGCACGCCCTCGGCGGATGCAATCTCCTCTAGTCTCTTCCTAGCATTGCCCTGGTCGAGACTCTTGAAACGAAACTTGCTGCAACGACTGGCCAACGGGTCGATGATTCGGGTGACGTAGTTGCAGATTAAGCAGAAGCGAGTAATCTTGCTGTACGTCTCCATGGTTCGCCGCAGGGCGCTCTGAGCATCTTGTGTCATTGAATCGGCTTCGTCGAGGATGATGATTTTGAAAGGGGGACAGGGGTATCTTTTGCTATACCCGGGGGTTGGATTGGTCAATTGCATGCGCGCAAAGTTTTTGACTTTTTCTCGGACGATTGAGATGCCGCGCTCGTCGGAGGCGTTCAACTCGAGGACTCGCGATTTCATCATCTCGGGACCGAAGAGCTCCTTCGCCAATGCGAGGATTGTTGACGTCTTGCCTGTGCCTGGGGGTCCGTAGAATAGCATGTGTGGCAACTGTGACGATGGTATCAGTACATGTGGTGTGGTGTATGGTTTGTTGCTCGTTATCGGGATTTCAATTGTACATTGGAAGCTTGGAGGGTTCTTTGCAAGACGGTCACGGTGTGATCTTGGGCTGTAACATCGTCGAGGCTCTTGGGTCGGCTAGAAGACAGCAGTAAGCGAAGGGCTCCTTTTGCTCTTTGAGAACCGATATCCTTCTGAAGATAGGGAAGCGGCATACTATTTTTCGACCCAGGGCTGGTTTCTGGCTTCTGCTGGCTTCTGATTTTTCTGGTCCGCGGTACCATTCGCTGCGGCGGCAGCTTTCCGGGCTTTGAGATCGAAGAAGCTGGCCATGTCTGTGTCCTCTCTCTGAAAAGTTGCGCTGCTAGACTTGGTCAATGTGGTAATCAAAATGGAGAATATGATGTGAAAGGAACAGCAGCGGCGGCGCGGCAGATTCCAAGGTACGACATGGATGTCCTGTTTGGTACAATCGTCGTCTGATGGTGAAGCGCGAAGAAAATCTATTAACGCGTCACGTCAACTCGGACGCGTGACCGGACCCCAGAGCAGCTATGGGTCTCAAGCTCCCCACGACATTCAACTGGCATATTCACTGTTGTGGATGCACCATCTATCAATTGATCTATTGCCCCGCGTAGGTGCTCGCTGCCCGCTGCCCGCTGCCCAGCCTTGTTACTTTCCACTGCCTTGATCATTGATGGGCCTTTATTGGGCATGTTTGCATATGCATTTCTCATTCAGGATGGACGCCCAGCTTGCCAGGTACATTTATCTGCAGTGGGAGACAAAAGTATTTAACTACCTACCTAGGTACCTAGTAGATCGTATACCTGGCCAGCGAGCCATGTATGTACTATATATAGCATACTACGGTATACTTGTTGATGGGCAAATATATTCTGCCACAAACGGTAGACAGCGTCGAAAGAATGGCACAACTGCTCGATTAAAAAATGGTCTCGGCTTTCGATGATCTACCAAAACGCGGAGTGTCTGGGGAGTAACACTTGACATCGTCGCGAACTTCTGTGCTGCAATAGAAAGCAAGAGGAATGTGTCGCCCTCGCCATCTCATGCTTTGCCCAACAGGACGCAACGCAGCCCAGGCGAACCAGGTGTTGGGCTAACAGCGGCCAGCCGGCGCCATCGAACTGGGGGCTGCTGCCTAGCCCCTCCCTCCATATCCTCCAAATGCCCCAATGCCAGCACCTGGCTGCCGCACCGGCACTGCAGCAGTCGGCACCAGCCCCCGACTTTGAAGCCCAGTCGATCTGCAGGCGCCCACGGCAGCGCCACGACTCCCACGAGTTGCAAGTGCCAAGCACCAGACAGCAGCAGCACCTGGGAACTAGTCCGGCCTAGTCGAGGTCCGTTACTACCTAAGTTGCTCTCTGTAGTTACCTGACGTCTGGTTGCCGAGAATCCATCCCACTTTACCACTTACAGACTTCGAATCGTCGTCTTTACGCCTGGGTCCAGCGACTTCCATTCTTCGTGCCAGCACCAAACTGCACTTGACCTGCCTTCCATCTTTTCATGCTTCGTAGTTTCGCAGCTCGACCGGACGCTCTTCACCCTTACATGCCTACAGTTTGTACGGTCAGTCGCCATGGACCAGTCCATAATTCGGATCTCCAAGGTCTGTTTGCGTTAAAAGCCCCGCAATCTGCAACCTGAGCATCTGGGCTTGGAAACTATGCGGCTGTTTCTTTCATCGCGGGGTTCTTTTGAGGCTAACCAGGCTGTTTTATTGACAGGAGCTGAGCGACATTCAAAGAGGCACTGATCTCGGTGCGTATTTTCATCTAAACTACCAGACGAGCCATCATCAGCCGCCTCATGCGTATCTTGCCCTTCTTGCTTGTTGCTGACATTTCTTTCTTGGCTTCTACCAACAGCTATCACTGTCGCTTGCCGCGATATCGATGTTCGCAATGTGAAAGCTCTGGTCATGGGTCCTCACGAGACCCCCTACGAATTTGGTTTCTTCGAAGTAAGACGTCCAGGAAGCCAACAAACCATGAGCAATGCTTCTGCTAACAGTCTTCAAATAGTTTGCCATTCGATTCAGTAGAGGTAATGCCACGCACCAAACTTCCTGTTACCCTGTTCCACTTCCCAGTGCCTAACGATCCCTAGACTATCCGTCCAAATCGCCCAACGTACAGTGTGTCACCACCAACGGAGGCAGATGCCGACTGAATCCAAATATATACGCCAATGGCAAAGTGTGCCTGTGAGTACCTGCACGCCCTTCTGTCCATGCTAAATTGATTTTTTGTATTAACTTCGCAGGTCAATATTGGGGTAAGTATCACCTGCTCGACCACTCAACCTGTGCCTTGTGTACTCTGTAGTTGACAACAATCCTTCACATCATCACAGAACATGGCGTGGCGAACGAGGGGAGGAGTGGTCATCTGCTCAGGGTCTGGAATCCATTCTCTTATCCATTCAGAGCCTTCTGTCGGCAAACCCCTACGAAAATGAACCCGGATTCGAGGATGCAAACGAGGAATCAGACAAGGTGTACCAAAAAGATTATATACAAAAGGTTCACAGTGCGAACAATTTCAAATTTTGTGCGATATTCTAGCTAACCTTGCAAAAAAAAGATCCGTCACGAATCGCTAAGAATTTCTGTTATTCAGCGCTTAGAAAACTATCTTGGTCTTAGTCCCCTTGGCGGTAGCACACAGCTGCTCACCAAAGAAGATGGCGATGATGAAGACGAGGAAGTCAACATACCTTTTGAGCCTTTCAAGGATATCTGCAAACGCCGATTTCTATGGTACTATCAATCATACCTGGACGCTGTTGAAAAGGGAAAGTCGGAAGTAAAGCTACAGGATAGCTTTGTGCGAATGCCGTTTGAAATGCCGGGCAATAATTGCATGGAGGGCAAATTTAATTACCCAGATTTGGAGCGAAGGCTAAACAATATTAAAACCGCGCTTGACGCGGAACCAGCGGCTTGGGCAGCCGAGGGTCTCTCAGCTGTTGCCAAGGAGTCTACTGTCGCGGTCAATCTGTACCATCAGTACGAGCAAGTCACGGCCTACTTCAAAAGAAGCGACATGCCTCATGATGTAACTCTCGAAAACGAAAATCCCTTCGTGTGGATCATCACTTATTTCGGTCGGCCCATGACCAATCTGGACGGCGGCTTGTTCCGGATCAGAATGAACTTCAGCATCCGATTTCCAGACGAACAGCCTCGCGTCAAGTTTGAAACAAAGATTTTCCACCATCATGTTGCCCCGGATGGCACGGCGTGCTACGTACCGAATCCACTAAAGCGCGAGGATGTCAAGTCCCATATTGAGGCAATTATATCGACATTGGAAGAGGACGAACCGGCCTATGACCCTAGAATGATTGTCAACCCCGAAGCCACGAAGTTGTTCTGGGGCGGCGGAAAGGATGACAAGAAACAGTACAACCGTCGTCTTCGACGATCAGTGCAGCAAAGCATGGAGTAAGACTTTTGCTCCTCTCGTTTTCATTTCTCAAGTCATCATTGCACTCCTAACCGCCCTATAGAGACTTCCCTGAGTAACAATATTGGTCATTTACGGTGGAGAGAAATACAACGAATCGTGACTTGCATCATTTCGGCGTATCCTGTACAGGACTGCCGAGAGGTACCCTTTACTGTTTCCCCCCTTTTGGAAGATGGCAAGTGTCAAAGCCCATGATGGGCTGGATTCATGGGTATACCGATCCGAGTGCTACAGCTACTCAACTACCTAGGTGGCGTTATAGGGAACAGGCGACTCAGATGAATACGTTTCTGGGGAGGTGAGCGGCGGACAAGCCGTGAAATAAAGCAGCGCTGAGCTGGCCTTGTGATATAGGTTCCATATGAACTCTCAAAACGTTTAACAGAAGTTGAAATACTCAGCGACCCTAACGGCATATTCCAAGGTGGCTATCGATCACCATGAAAAGTGACGGTTCATATGACATACATTGTGCCCACTGCTGGTAGCTTACCATAGACCTGTCTAACACAAAACGCCGTTCATAGATCCTATATCATCACAGTCGTAAAAAGTCCCGAACTATTCATATCATCGTTTCCTTGGGATGTACTCGCTCTGCGATACCTATTATTCCCCCTTTTCCAACCCCCATTTACTTCTTGCCCTTTGATTTCCGGTCAATCCGGTCTTTGCCGGGGGCGTAAGGTGCGGCCACGCCACTGTATTTTTCCTGTTTCCCTTCATTCTTTATATCATACGTCCCGTTGGATCCAAAGACAGCGGGCGATCCTTGAGAAGGGCGTGCCACCTGTTCGGCGTGGAGCTTGTCTAGTGAATCACTGACGACGGCATATTGCGCCCAGTTTATGGGAGGGCAACGAACGACATCCTGAGGCTTTGGTAATGACGACCACTCTCTTGGCTTTGATTCTCCGTCTGGCCGAGACGAGCGCTTGCCATCCGAGCTCTCCTGGCCAGCATTCTCGTCATCCTCGTCGCTGTCGGCAGTTTCAAAGACATAGTCATCCCGTGGCTTCACCTTCCCGGCGGCAAGATCCTTCATAAACGACTCCGGGTCGTCCAGTGCCTCGTCTCTGACTCTGCTCAGCGTCTGAATGTCCCCCGTGGCCCGTCTCTTCTGGACTTGGAGAACGGAAATAGCAGACTTGAGAGCAATAACATCAGGGTTGAGCTCGAAATCTATGGGCTCGGGAGGAGGCGGCGGGATGCCTATCTGCTGAGACGGCTGCGAGGAATGGGTATAGGTCTGTCTTGCTGGAGGGAGATTTGCTGCAGCCGGAGGGGCATCGGAAGGTCTTGCCGGAGCCAAGGGAGGCGTGATTGGGGACATGGGAGGACGAAGGGGGGATGTTGACCGGGACCTGGTGGGTTTGTCGGTCGAGATGGTGAGGGCCGGCATGGCGAGGAACGGGATCTCTGGCTCCTCGAGTTTGCGCGACCAAGCGCTGGGTTTGGGTGCGGGTTTGGAAATGGCGGTGGGCTGGGGGTGCACAACGCAAGTTTGATCCGGCTGGATTGGGGGGGGGTCTTGTGTGCGAGCAAGCGAAAAAAACCAATGTATCCTCTTTGATAGGCGGGATTTTTTGTCTTCTTTCTTTCTTTTACTTTGCGTGAGGTGATGTATCAGAATGGCCACTGGCGGAATCGTATTATGCCAATGCTGGAGGTGACAAACACGTTTCCAACACTGGTTGACCCGCGGGCTTTGTCTCAGGTACGGCGACGCTCTCGCTGAGATTACGCGATCCTGGTTAACATCAATTTGTGCGTCGTGGCCGGCTAGGTACTGGACACTCGGCGCTGGGGTTGAGAAGTAAGTTCAAGTTGAGGCATCAACTGGCCTGCATGTGGTGATGTGGTAATGCACAGTGGGTGGCGGCGAAGTCGCGATATCTGGAACCATCAACGAGGTCGTAGAGAACCAGTCGACCATGCAAGTCTTGGCCAGGTCAGTCGCCGGTCCGCCGGTCTTTGACCTTGGATCAAACGCCGTTGCAAAAGTGGTCAGTAGCGTCCGCCAGGTCGTCGCATCCTCGGAGGCGGATGAGGAGGCACGGGCAAACAAGATTGGGCGCAATGCGCGACGTCTGCCGCAGCAACAATGCCCTGTCCAGCCCCACTGTTGTATGACTCCTTGTATGCATGTTCTGTCTCGCAGGCAAGGAGAACTGCGGGGTGCCGATGCTTATCAGAGTTACAGTACACAAATATCAATTTGACACTGTACATGGGGTGAATTGTGTCGCAGGCTACTAAGGATGTGACTGCCCGTGAAAGCACGTGTGCACAGTGCTGCAGATAGCGGCGCCGGGTGCGTCATGGCAGCAAAACTTTTCCTTGCTGCGACATCGGCACCACGTAATTGGCTCTGTACTATCTGCCACTTCCACTGCTACCCCACCCTCCCCAGGGGACCCCACCAACAACAGTTGGTGCGTCAACTAGATCGATTCGTGCAACTTAAAGATTCACAGCACTTTTTTTTCCCCTTCTTCTCTCTCCCATACTTTAAATCCCTTTGACTCGTCGACTTCGACTTCGAACGCTAAAGATAACATCGGCCACATTTATTTAGAAATACCGCCATCATGTGCGGTGATAGATCAGCAGTTAACGGCACCAACGGTACCAATGGTACCGCCAACACCATCCGCAATCGCACACCTTACGAGTCTGTGGGCGATTTCCTCTCCAACCTGCAAAACTTCAAAATTGTAATGCCAATGGACCAGTTATCATATTCAATGGACGCGGTCTAACGAGCGGTAGATCGAGAGTACCCTGAGAGAGGGCGAGCAATTTGCCAATGCCTTTTTTGACACTGGTATGGATTCATCCGACAGTTCTGTCATTGTGCCACACCTACTAAACGCCCCGTCGCAACAGAGACTAAGATCAAGATGTACGATCCCAAAGAACACGCCATATATACGCTTCATGATCTAACTGTGGCTTCGTAGTGCAACCGCATTGTCCGACTTTGGCGTCGAATATATCGAACTGACTAGCCCGGTCGCCTCACAAGTAAATAGTCATCCCAAAACCCGCCATTGAAAACAAGCGGGAACTGAATTTTGTTAGCAATCACGAGAGGACTGTGAGGCTATCTGCAAGCTCGGCCTCAAGGCCAAGATTCTGACACGTACGTTTTCCTGTGACTGTCAATCTCTGTACCCATCTTGTGCTAACCATGCCCAGATGTCCGCTGTACGATGGAGGTACGTTGCTTTCTTTTTGTACATCTTGAAAATCAAAGACGTGTTGCCTAAACAATCGATAGGATGCCAGAATTGCCTGCGACACCGGTGGTGAGTCGACCCTGGCTTTATCTTTAATATTATATTGTAGCACTCCTAGTAACCCCTCTCCAGTTGATGGAGTTGATCTTGTTATCGGCACATCGAGCTTTTTGAGAGAACACTCTCACGGAAAGGACATGGTAGCAATCGAGAAGGCTGCCATTGAGGTTATCAACTACGTCAAGAGGTAGGCACTAGATGCTCACATTACCGCGGTCCACCGCTGACTGTTGCAGCCGAGGAGTTGAGGTTCGCTTCTCATCGGAGGACAGCTTCAGAGTAAGTCAGAAATGCAAATTCTCCATTTACCTTTGTCACAAGGCTACGTTCGCTTAATTTCATGACCATACCTGTGTTCTCTGGCCCCTTTTTTTGCCCTTTTCGGGTTAAAGCGAGGTGCTTCTGTTGGATGCAACCGTGCCTTGAGAATACCACGGCAGTCTATAGACATATATGCCTTTGCACTAGTCGTCGGTTGTAGTTGGCCTGCCATCCAACATTGCCAACCTTGCATTTGTCCTTCTCTATCGGAAGTTTTATTTGCATACGGTGCAGCACAAAGAGTGGAACTAATATTATCATCTGAATAGTCCGACCTTGTCGATCTCCTCCAATTGTATCGCGCCGTTGATGTAAGTTTTCCTCCCTAAAACTGGAAAAGAGAAACTAACATTGAGATGCAGCGTATTGGTGTCAACCGCGTCGGTGAGTTTTGAATGCTCATGGAGTGTACTCTCCGCTGGTTACTCACATATATGCTCCAGGCGTGGCCGACACGGTCGGATGTGCTACCCCCCGTCAAGTCTACGATCTTGTCCGCACGCTTCGAGGCGTTGTTTCATGTGACATTGAAGTGCATCTGCACAACGATACGGGCTGTAAGTTGAGGCCTTCAACAAACGCTTCTTTCACACTATTGCCGTATTTTTCTTCACACCTTTTCATCCACTCCAAACCCTCAATGGCTGTAGAACAAGCCATCTGCTGTCATATAACATACTATTCGTTCTACATGGACCACGGTATCCATCCTGTTTCGCCAGCTTACTCTCGTTTTTTCTACAACCATGAGATCGTCTCTTTGCATGCCATCTGAGAGCTTGTGGCTTTTGCTAACTAGACCAGGCGCTATCGCGAACAGTCATGCTGCACTCGAAGCCGGCGCGACGCGTAAGTCTTGTTCTTGTTACTTTTAGAGGGCATTGGATAATTTTACTCACATGTCTCACGCAGACATTGACACCAGTGTGCTTGGCATTGTAAGTCGGGATCACTACAAGACCCGGACATGAGCGAATTGCTGAGATGAATTAGGGCGAGAGAAACGGTATCACATCCCTCGGTGGACTTATGGCTCGCATGATGGTTGGAAGTCGCGAATATGTGATGAGCCGGTATAAGCTCCATAAGATTAAGGAGATCGAGGACATGGTGGCGGACGCCGTCCAAATTGTGAGTGAATATCCTGCGAAACTGCCAGACAATTGTTAGAGCTCTTGCGCCCACATTGGTTTCAGTCGCAACCACAGCCCCTGAAGAGGTGGACGACTGCCACATGACGTCGCCATGTACTTTTCAGTGTCGTTACGGAACAGTCTCATGCTGACGTGATGCCAGAACGTCCCTTTCAACAATCCTATTACTGGTACGTCATACATGCTTCCATATCTCACTCTGCCCAAAACGAAGTTCTCAGTCTCCCCATTAAAAGAGGTGCTAACAATGCTCGCGATGTTAGGTTTCGTAAGCACCACCTGATTTTCCGAACTGTTCAATAAGATGCTAACTCTAGGCCCCTATAGTGCGCATTCACTCACAAGGTACTTCCATGTCTTGTTGAACTTGGAGACAAGAGACATCACTAACTCGTCACAGGCCGGAATCCACGCCAAGGCCATCCTGGCCAACCCCTCGACGTGAGTGGTGATTGACCACGAGTTACGTGTCAGGAAGCTAACTTTGTTAAAGCTACGAAATCCTTTCACCGGAAGACTACGGTCTTAGCAGATGTAAGAACTTTTGTTCCCAGAAAAAGAGAATATCACACTAACTAGTAGCAGATGTCCAGTAAGTGTGCACCTAAATGCAAAGTCGATTGCATGGCACCAGTAGTGGATTGACATGAGCGTTGCCTTGGCCCCTTTGCCATTGATGTTCATGGAAGTCGGTAGCGTTCCTCACTTGGATGTGGGGAAGCAGCTGATCTTACTCTCACCTTTTGTTCCCACGTCGCTCATCCTTCGTAATCAGACGTTGCTAACAGCTCCGCAGTTTCGCTAGCCGGTTGACTGGTTGGAACGCTATCAAGAGCCGAGTCGAGCAACTTGGTCTATCCATGAGTGACGAACAAGTCAAGGAAGTGTACGTGCATCAACGCCCTCACTTGGATGATGATACTGACAGACGCAACGCAACAGCACTGCCAAGATTAAGCAGATGGCAGATATTCGCCCCCTCGCCATTGACGATACGGACTCCATTATCCGCTCATACCACTTGGAGCTGCAACAGCAGTAAGACCAACGGAGGGGTTGGATATTTGTTCGTTGGAAAGCATACATGCCACGGATGCATGCCAAAAGTGTTTTTTAAAATACCTGCTCGAGCTGAGAAAACGATGGTATTCAGGGTTGTTCTTTGTCCAGATGTGGGGATTAGAGAAGTGTATTTGTTTGCTATACATACATTGGTGCGACAGATCATGGATAGCTTAAGGTAGCAAATCACTAGCATTGCGAAATGTCCCACAGTATAAGCTCAGCCCGGGATGAAGTATGACGCAGCGCAGGGCCCAATATCGACTTCCAGTTTTCAACGGCAAGGCGTCCGTTCTATTGCAACGTATTCAACGTGTTGACATTGGTGACATGTAAGATTCTTATCTGGTGCTTAGTGAAACCCGGTCAGCGAGAGGTGGATTTGAATGCCCTCGTTACGCCTGACTAGATCTGGGTATCAACAAGATTCTGCAAACTGTGAGTCGGGAACTTCCGAAGCACACACGTCGATGATGACAATCCCACGTAGCTAGGGTCCCTCCGAGAAAGCGCACGGACGGATCGCCAAACCCTAGTCTTGCAAGCCTCTATAGTTTTACCGTGATTTATCTTTAACCCGGGCATCATTTGAATATGATTCAAGTCCCTCTTTAACAAGTGGGTAGAGGTGCTCGTCGGGGGAGGTAGACCACATAGGTACACGGCTTATCGCGGTCTAAACTATAATATATTAATGTATACAGGGGCATAAACTGTTGTGGTGCCTCAAAGACGCGTCCTAGTTTCCTCTATGTGATCTTGTACTAGCTGCCTGAGACGCGCGGTGTCCTCCTGGAGACTAGAGACCGTGTCGTTGAGCTCACGTAACCTCGGCGTCTCTTTCTGCCGCTTTTTTTGGCCGCCGCCGCCGCCGATGCTTTGCGCTCGCTGACCTCTAACACTATCTAGTATTGGCATCTAGGTGGATAAAATGGTGAAAAACTTAGTAAAGCAATGCGTCTCATGTACAAGTCTTGGACGTCTCAGCTTCTAAAAAGTATTAGTGCTAATAGAGTAGTAAAACGCTGGCGCAGTAGCATAATAAACGTACCAGTCTTGGCTGCCTCGGCCTATAATAGGTGCTAGTATAAATAGGAGAGTACCAAATTTATTTTGTAATGAAAACAGACGCTCGTAGCAAAAGGTTGATTAAAGTTCCGCAGCGATCACAGCCCCCAACTTGACGCAAAGCTTGCCCTGATCGAGCACTCCTGGTGTCGGAATTAATATGTAATTGAGTAATAAAACGCACTATACGTACTGCGCGTGATGGAATCGTGTCAATAGTCTGGGAGACTTGTATGTCAACACATGGCGTTGGGGCAAGAAAAGCGACTGCACAACATGGAGCATCTTCTGCCGTCAAAAGGGTGCGGTGACAAAGCATACATGCAATAACTCATGGAATTGAGTTTGTCAAGTTGACGGAATACTTGTAGAGAATAAGCGTACATGATATGGACGTGAATATACAATGAAATTTCACTCCTAGCATCACGGCGCAGTGATCCGCGGTGTTTGGAAGATCAAAGCAGATTGCTGACCATCAGCCTGTTGGCCTGACTATTCGTCATCTATTTTTTTTCTTTTTACTCTGGTCATTCCAGTCGTCCTCGTTCTTACTATCCTCGTTGTCCTCACCACCCTTAGTATCGCCGTTGTTCCCGTTGGTCTCTACACTCGTATTCTATTATTGTCACTTGTTCTTGCTCATAGTCCATGCTATAGTCGCTCTTCTTTTCAAGTGGAAGCGCAGAGAGGTATCTTGCCTCAAACCCCAATGACAACCTCAAAATATCGTAGAGACCCATGACATTGCAGCATAAAACATCATGTTGTCGCGTATTCTTTTCCAGCTGTATGCCCTGCTGGGCCATCTCCTCATTTTGGCGGATAATCGCCTCGTCCTGCCTGTCAATCTTTTGTTCGATTCGCACCAAAGCTTCCGCAGGGTACTGCGGCGCAGACACTGTTATTCAGATTCTGCACCCCCTTTTTCAGACAGTCGGTTATCTGCGCTTGTTGCTCATCATCACAATTCTTGATTTCCTGCTTGAAGTCCTCTATTGCCCGCTGGTGTGCCTCGGCTTCGTCTTCATCACAGGCACAACGGGCAATTTGCTGCTCTTGGGCATCATCTGCCGCGGTTTGTTGCCGGCTCGGTGATGTGTGGACCTGTAGTTGGTTGATCTGTATCTCGTTGCCCGGTAGTCTGTTGTTCTGCGGTGAATATACCTGGTTTTCAGTCTGATTTGTGCTCTATCTGATGCTGTTATCCCTGCTCTTGGTCCAGCTTCTTCTGTTGTCGGATCGGGTTGAAAGGAAATGAATACTCGGTGCTGGACCTTTGACCAATGCGGATAATTCAGCAGGCTAATGTCTACATACCAGCATGTACGTGGTGTTGCGTTCCCTCATCATGGCGTCTCCCCATGTTGCCGGAGCCGTGATTGCCAACACAAGTGCCTGGGGCTCGTCTGGATTCACCTGTGTCTTCGTCTTTGTTGCCCCTTGCCGAGTGAACATGTTTCGTCATTGCGTGGTTAGATGGCTGCACCGCTGTCTTGGCAAACTTGAGCTACTTGTAAGGAGCCGCCCTCGCGTTAAAATGTCTCGTGGTCTCGTCGTTCATATATGGACCCTAGAGATGTGTTGATGTAGTGCAAGATCTTGCTACCAGGTTCATTTGGAGAGAACAGCGTTCGCCAAATCATTGGGAATTGGACGTCAGCGGCGGCAGCTGGATCATCCATGGCAGTCGTCTCATGTGCCCAGGTTGTTCGCAAAAGGGCATTGAATCGGAGTAGTTTATTAGACTACGATTCTTGTATTGCCTTCGGCGGTCCCTGGTGTGATTTCTTTCGCTGTTGCCGCTTTGCTATTATTCATTTCGTTGTTCCCTAAAACTGATGTTCCATGTTATTCTGCCATGACGAGGTCTTGCAAGGCCTGGATTCCTTGCTACTCGTATTCTAGGTTGTCCTGAATGAAAAGCTGCCATGTCTTGTTCAAATTGTTGCTTGTCTGGGCCCACGTCCTTTTTTACTCTTGCGCAATAGTTTCCCTTTTCAACACTATTATTAAGACGTCGAAACAGACACGCAACCTACATGGGCAGTTTGTTTCGAGTAAGACTCCTTGTGCAGTGGTCGTTTGTTGAATGAAAGGAAAAGAGGAAGAAAGGGAGTCTGGCTGAGTCGAATGGTTTTGGCATCGGCAAAGACAACCGCAGTGCCAGCTCACCTTGTCATTCACGCTCAAATTCTTTTCCACCGCTACAGTCAGACCTTTCATCTGGCATTGTCATCACCACTTCCATTCATTAACCAGATCACCAACTTGTTGACGACTCGACACACACACACACGCCGTTTTTGGCACGACCTGACAGTACGTCCCCCCAAAGCCAGCGGAAAGTCAGGTGCGATTTCCACAAATGTAAAGAGGGCCATCTGCGAGGAATGTGTGTCGGAGCCATTGCGCCGCAGGCCATCTTCTCAAGCATGGCAAAATACTGCTTCCGCCGCTGACATGTTGGACTGTTAAGTGATCCAAGGCTGAGTTGATGTACAAAATATAGTTGCTTACCTTGGGTACTTAAGTACGTAACTTATACATGCGGGGGACGCACAAAACTTGAACTATAAACTCCTTCACGGCAGAGGTGGGTCCGGCACAAATCTTTAATCATCAACCCGTTCCCTCTGCGGATTCTTCTTGCCGGATAAGTGGGGCATGACTCTAGCCAATCGAGCGAACCAACAGAAACTCAGAAAGTCTTAGCCGTCGCCGCCAGTGCTGTTGATTGGTCAGAGCTCTTTCCTGGTTGCGGCAAATCTGGCTATGACGTCGACGTTGCCTCAGATCACGGCAGATGTTTCTTGATCTCCGGGCGGAGGGGGATTGCTAAATGTTAACAAAAAGGTGGTCAAGGCCCATTCCCCCCTACATCCATCCATGCGCGTACTCTTCTCTTTTCTTTGGCCCCCGAGAGCAAAGAGGCTCCATTGTCCGCTTCAGGTCGACTCGCAGGTTACCCGATTAATTTATACCATAGAAAGCCATATTGGGCCATATTTGGACTTTCTGCCTGTCTAAGAACATATTTTACCTCTTTTCCCCAGCCGCTGAAGAGCTTCGACACGATGCCTCTCTTCAGTAAAACAAAAGACGGTGGCCAACAGGATCGAGAACCACGCGATGCTACCGACGAGTCGTCCGAAACTGCACCGCCCGATGAGCATACCCGCCTGCTCCCTAATCGCGTCGACGCAAGCAGAGACTCGAATCGAAACTTGCTCACGCCAGACGACCCCGCCGTATCCCCGTATAATTTATGGAGTATTCGTGTCCTGCGCTACTTGACCCTGGTCTTCACGGCCATTACATTCGTCTGGTGGGTTCTCCTGCTGGTCTCTGCCTTTGCGACACCACCGGGGTTGCACACGCGAGGCAGCAGCTTCTTTGCCTTTGGATTTACGACCTTGACCATGGCGAATCTGGGCTTTGTTCTGATCTTCTTTGGCGTGCCGAGCAAATCGGAGAGGATCCTGGCCTTTGTAATGGCGGTGAGTCGTGCATTTTGAGGACCAGCCATGATGTACATACATACATATATGTATGTACGTATTTATTCATCTGCCAGGACTGACCGAGCTCACAGTTCCTCTTACTTCTTGATATGATTCTCCTCCTTGCGGTGCAGCAGACGCGATACGAAGAAGGATGGGTAGGCATTGTGAGCGCTGTTTGGGCTTTGCTCATGAGTCTCTGGAGCATCCTTACAGACCGCATGGTCAAATGGGGCAAGCAAGAGGAAGAACAGAGGCTTACGGGCCGCGCCGAGACGAGGCGAACCCTGACTGAATGGTCGGCGGTCGTCGTGTCAACCATTGCCTTTGTCGTCATGGTTGTTGCCGTCGCTCTCATCACGCTTACGATTATTCTGCGAGCGTTGGATGCTCGCTTTTCTGGTCCCGGGAAAATGTACAGTGTTGACGGGAACAAGTACCGCATTCACGTATTCTGCCACGGAAACAGGACCAAGTCACGTGGGGAGGAAGTTCCTACTGTGCTCTTCGAGGGAGGAGAACGACCCGTTGAACAAGGCCTATGGCTCTTTGCAGACAACGCCGTCAAGAATGGCTCCATCTCACGATACTGCTTCGTCGACCGCCCGGGAATAGCATGGTCAGACACCGCACCGTCCCCTCTATCAGCCGGCTTCACAGTCGATGTTGTCAGTGAAGCTCTCGCCAAAGCCGGCGAGCAGGGGCCCTGGGTTCTTGCCAGTGCAGGCATCGGCTCTCTCTACTCCCGGGTATTCTCCTCCCGCCATGGACATGACGTGAAGGGTCTCGTGTTCATCGATCCTCTCCACGAGGACTTGCTTGGTCCATGGGCTTCTCCGACCCGGGGATTCCTCCTCTGGCTCCGTGGCGTCATCTCCCCCCTGGGACTAGACCGTCTTCCGGGCGCCATTTTCAGGGGCCGTACGTCCCAGGATCGTGTGTATGGAAGATCCGTCCAGCAAGGGAGTAAATTCATATTTGCCAAGCTCCAGGAAAGTCTGGTGCTGGACTCGTTCACGAAGCGCGATGTCAGGAGCAGTCGCCAGATTCAAGACAATGACACTCCCTTGGTGGTAATTAGCTCAGGGGTCGAAGTGAAGCGGAGTAAGAACTGGGAAGCGAAGCAGAGAGATTTGACGACGGTGACGGATAATTTGAAGGTGTGGGATATAGTGAACGGGGCCGGGCATGAGGTTTGGGGCACGCTGGAAGGGAGGGAGGTGATTGAAAAGAGACTGAGGCAACTTGTGAGGGGGAAATGATTCAGCCATGGCCAGATTGCTATTTCTCGAAATTTCGGACGGGAAGATTTTGATTCGGTGCCATGGGAGCCATAACCAGTATTTTTGTTTGAGGGGTAATATACAGACCGACCCAGCTCGTTCGTTGTATTTGATTTCCAATGACGGCGTAATCAAAACCATGAGGACTATGATAAATCTCGGATTATTTATTTTCTGAGAAGTTTTTTTTTCTTTTGACTCCGAGGCAGAGGCCATAATAACTTGCCTTGTTATATAAGCAGTCTATTTTGCCCGATACACTTTGTGACGCCATGTTGTACTTGTATCTGCGAGTGTTGACGAGTCGCACAGAACTTGGTCGAATATAATACCTAGATACACGTGCAAATCCTGTCAGCAAAGGGAAAAAAAAGTAAATAAATACAATAAAGGACGCTTCAGAGTTGAGAAATTCAGCACCACGCATGCTTTGCTGACAAGCCTGTCTCCCTTCCGTCTACCCCCATCCATACCCTCTGCAGTGTCATGTTGACCACCACATAAACATTGCCAAAGAACGAAATGCTTCTTCCGTGGCAACGACAGCACGCATCGTAAGGGGATGAAACGGCCACTACTTCCACGTTGCGTCGCCCCATCATCCGATCCGACCTAGGCAGATGGTTGGTTACACAACACGGAAAATCCCATTTATTTTCTTTCAAGAAACAGGACCAAAGAAAACAAGGTTCTTCTTTGTTGGTGGTATTGCTGGCAAGCCTGAGGCGAAAACAACACATCCAAGTAAACTTTGGTTGCTCCCAAGTCTTGGCATGCAAATGGCCTCCGCTTTTATGTTGCTCCCCCCCTCATGTCAAATTATGTGCTTGATCGTTGGCCTGCTGCTCGGGGGCCGCCAAAAGGGGGCCGCTTGCCTCCCTGGAACAAACAGGACGAGAGACCCTTCAGTCCGGTTTGGTTCATTCGACCGTTCCAGTCTGGAAGGCAGGTCCTGTGTTGATGAGGAATGAGGAATGAGGCACATGTGTAGTCTCAGAACATGCGCATCCTTGTCGCCCGGAATCTCACCATCAACCAGACATGCTGCTTAATAGAAGTACATTATTGCCGCCCTCGGCTTCTCCATCAGGTGGCCCACAAAAGGTGTTCCGGAGAATTTAGCCTTCAACTAATGAAGCGGCAGTGGCATCTACAATATTAGCGGCGACGAAGAGCTATTTGCACACGTCGCTTGCGCAAAACTTCATTCGCCCCATCGTGCCTTTTTGGTTTCAACACCGTTTTCAGCCGTATAAGTCGTCTCCCAGACCTAGACGAAAGTGGGCAACGGGACCGTCCGTTAGTCTCAGTCATTCATGGCCAATTTGGCGTCCTTATTTACCAAGAAGCACCGTGACCGAAGAGCATCCAAGCATAGCTCTGACCGACGAATAGAAAATAAGTTACCTCGCGAGGAGGCGGGAGTGGCACGTTAACCCGAATGAGGTAAACAATGTCCGCCTCGCGATGCGTGGTTAAGAATATCCATCCACTCCCTGGAAAACCAGCCCTGACTGTGGCTCTTGTGGCTGAAATACCGCCAAAGGCCTGCCCACGGCTGCCTATCCTATTTTCTCGTATACAACCCCATCACGGATATGCGTGTTGGATATGCTGATGTGCGTGGTTCCTCGGTAGGATGCATAATAACTACTACCAAGGTAAGCAAGCGACCACACCGAGGTTCCGAGAACCTCGTACTGTGAAGCGAGAAATGCGCTCCCCAACCCAAGACCTGGCGTGCGCAACACGTCTGGTGGTACGGGACGGGACGGGGACTGGGAATCAACCCTTTTCCTGCATGCCGTTGTACAGACCTCACGAGGGATCTCGGGTACAACGCTGTGAAATCGGTTCAGTTGCCCAGTAGTTTTCTGTTTCAAGTGCCAGACTTCGACTTGATGCTACCCTCGACTCAGTTGGGTAGGCTGGCTGCCTGGGAGATGAAGGGGTGTGCCAACCGAGCATGGAGTCTCATTCTTGGCCATCCTTCGCCGTGCTGGGGAAATTACGGTACGGGTCCGTCATGCTCATGTCCCCATTTCAAGTTCCATCGACGTTTCTTCCCTCTGGGTTAACGGGCCGCCTCCTACGTACTGTGGATCCGAGGGTCGTTTCTGACGGGACATCCTTTGTGCGCTTTGAGGGCGTTCCTGGGATGTGTTGATCTTAGAGCGGCTACACCAATTTAGTCTCCGCCCAACTTTCCAATGCCAACAAGGAGAAAGCCAATCCGATATTAGGCAAGCCACTTACGGAGGGTCGTGGTAATAGTAGAGAAAAATCGACCCCCTTTCTCCAGTCTGCTCAGACAGCGCAGCCCCTCTCGTAGAGGTCGCCCCCGATGCATCTCTCCAATGTGGAAAGGCAGTGTACAATGAATTCACATCGAACCCGGACATGGAGAGTATTGAGGGCACATGCAGATTTCGACGGTTGTTCGTCGTTCTCGGTACGTACGGAGTACGGGAGGAGTGGCTGCTATGTGCAGTGTGCGGATGCACTTGCTACACGTTTTGAAAGGACATCTGGAAAGAGCGGGAGTCAGGACTTCCCTTTATTGGTGCAATTGGTGTACAGTGTTGCAGCGCAGCATGGACTCTGGAGTAACTACTAGGTAGCTACTTAAGTACCTAGTAGGTGGTATTGCATTTGCCAGACCAGACTGCACATGTGCAATAATCGACCCGAAGTCCCACTAGCGGCGGTACTGCATGTCCAGTCGGCTCTAATAATACCGTAGTGCTTTAGAGGCTCAACATTTGAAGGGCTTCAGTCATATGTACGGTGGTTGTTTTCCTGGAACTGCAGGGCCCTCGGAAGACTCCACAGTTGAGGTGCCAGCGCCAGGCGGCCACCAGACTCTCCTCTCACCGTCGCCTGCAGTGATGAATGGCAGCCGCCTGTTGCTGTCTGGTTTGCTGCCGCCACACTGCTGGCACGTCCGTTGGCGCCATTTAACCGCTGTCCACCACATCAGCTTCCAGTCGCCAATCCACATGTGCAGTCATCCAGCTCCTCCAATCAGCAGCAGGCTATCTCCCCAAACTGGTCCCGACTCTCTGGCCCAGTGCTAGTACAGAGCACTTCACGAGTATTACCACTGTACCGTCAATGCCTGCCTGGCGCGGCTCCTTAGTCCCCAACCACTCACTGCACATGTGCTCTCAGCCCCATGTCTCGAGGGTGATCCCTAGTCCCTCAGTCCCTCAGGTCCCTCAGGTCCCTCTCCGTTCCTCAACTCGACCCGACTCTTGTGGCCAAACACAAACGCCAGACCGACATCACTACTTACCCATCGTTTGTGCCGTCGTATCGTCCACGTCGCCGCCACGACCGAACCCCGCCTCCTGCATCTTTCACTGTTTCTACATGTTCAGCCTTACATGCTATTCACATCCGTTTGACTTGTGCTCTCCGAGTGTCATCACGCCGCTGCCGCTGCCGCTGCCGCTGCCCAGCTCGCCCCATTTCCCGAAGCTTAGCCCCGATCTCGAGACTCGAAGCCGTTGGGCAGTCACGCGAACAATCATACGCCCTCGACTCTGTGCCGCCAGTGTGCCTGGCCCTTGTGCGCATCGTTGTCTTCTACGCCTGATATCTTCAATTGGCACCAGTATTGCTTTTGGGGTCCAACATAGCTGATGCCGACCGAGAGACTCCCCCTTCGTCCTTTCTTGTTGTACACCTGGCGCTGAGACGAGACCACACTCGGACGCAACATCGCGTGTCTGTGTGGTTTCCAGCATAATATATACCAACGGCTCGACGGCTAGGTGGCTTCCTTTTGCCCCGAGGAGAAGCAAGTGTCGTCTTTGACCAGCTAGGCCGTCGCTGCATCATTGGCCACGATGGCGTCGGACCACGGCCGGCCTTCAACCGATCGCTCTCGTAGTGACTACCCAGGATCCGACTCGGGCTATGCGAACGACAGGAACTGGCAGAATGGTGGTTCAAGAACGCCAGATAGTACCTATCACCTCAAGCCCACCACTTCTGGCTCCAGCATGCCTGGAGCTTTCCCAGGAACCTGGACTGACGAACCTCAGCCCCGCAAGAGCGGAGAGAGGAATCGATCGCGACAAAGGAACGGGCGTACTGCCAGTGGCCAGTTGAGGATCTGCAAGAAGTGCGGAGAGCCATTGACTGGCCAATTTGTTCGAGCTCTGGATGGCACCTTTCATTTGGATTGCTTCAAGTGCCGCGTAAGTAGGCTGGATAAGGCATTGAGCCTTGGCCACCCACCACCTTCTCCTCTCTCTCCTGTCCATACTCTAGTCCTTACACGAACGTGCACCATAACCCCCTGGGTCATTTCACTAATCGACCAAACACAGGATTGCGGTGAGATTGTGGCATCAAAGTTCTTCCCCGCAGATGACGAGAATGGCCATGGGCCATATCCCCTTTGTGAAACGGACTATTTTCGAAGACTAGGTTTACTCTGTTATCAGTGTGGAGGGGCCCTGAGAGGGTCCTACATCACTGCTCTGGATAGAAAGTACCATGTCGATCATTTCACTTGCTCGCTCTGCTCAACAGTCTTTGGAGCCCAAGACAGCTATTATGAACATGATGGCCACGTCTACTGCCATTACCATTACTCAACTCAGTTTGCTCAACGGTGCAATGGTTGTCAAACAGCCATCCTGAAGCAATTCGTGGAAATATTCCGTAATGGCCAAAACCAGCACTGGCATCCGGAATGTTACATGATCCATAAATTTTGGAATGTCCGCCTGGGTCAACCGAGCGATACGCCAGAAGCCCCCCCGCC